CACAATGTCTAACACCACTCATGAAGTTGCCAGAACTACGCAAAATGTTAAGAAAAATGTTTACAATACACATGCACTTCGAATATTTTTGACTGGCTTGCGTGAACCTTTGGGCTCTACGGTTCGAGCTACGAGACCGAATCCTCTTGCCGAAACACGTCAATTTGTCATTTCTGAGAATAATATTTTACATTTAAGAAAAACTGATTTTGACAACAACAGAAAAAATGTTTGGAGACCTAATTCATCCCAACAACAACCACGGCCTACCCCCATGAGTGGAGTTTCTCATGGTACTGATCCAAGAATAAATTCCCAAAATTACTTTAGACGTTCTGGACCATCTAATTTTATAGCTGAAGAACTATAATACAACTTCCACGATCAATACCCCTCCGAGGAATATTCTGATTATTACGAAGACATCCCTGAATCGTACGATCAATACGAGATTTGTGATTCCGAACCTCATGGCATTCAAAATCAACTGAATACTTCTAAAACCAAATATTTTCAACGAGCCGAGTCCCAGGTGACACCCACCTAGAAAATCATCACATTTATGAACACAAATATTTGCCGTATATTCAAATTAGCAACCCTCCTTTAAAACTCTTAATTGACACCGGAGCCACAAAATCATTCCTAAATCCCGAAATTGCAGAAAATTTCTATCCCGAATATATACGGAAAGAACCATTTACAATTTCTGTGTGGAGATAATGTGTCTAAAGAGGACGGGTCGATCTTATATCGATGCCATGAAGTCTGAAAAAAAGACTGACATTCATTAAACATGCACATTACAGCCGAGGCTTTGGCCATATATGTAAAGAGAAACAGTCCAACTTACGAGTGTATTTCGGTGTGAAAGATCCGAAGTCATTAGAATTTGAGTCTGCTGATAATACCACAGTAACATTTTTTCCAGAAACCATTAAACATATAGGTGAAAATTTAAAGCTTCCGCCTTTTGTTGGGTACTTCGACAAAATTTAAGCAAAGAGGACTCTTTATACTTTTTTTAATTCTCTCTAGCTTTCAATGGACTTTGCCATCATCATCAGGAGCTGCAATTACAATGATAACAGTAGCAACAAAAGTGTAAAATGAATTTAAATTGAATCAACTTACAGTAGTATGTGAGGATGTTGCTAATTGTTGTTTACGTATAGGATGAGGGAAACGTCCAGTAACATGGTGAGAGCTGGATATATGGTACAATGGTTAAAATTATATAAAATATGACAAGACAAGTTAAAGACAGATTAAAAATTGTTTAGAAAACATTAGAGCATTACATCGTGAAGCCACTTGATGATTGCACAAAACGGTGGTCATGGAATAATGAGTGAGATGAACCTTTGACAGAAGGCCGAAGGTTGTCAATGTCTGTGTTGAAAGATGGAACGAATTGTGGGCGTGTGCCAAAACGTCGCCAAATCACTTCAGATGATGTGATTTTCAGAATGTTATGTAAGAAATTGTTAAACCGACCAGAGGCAGTTGAATAAACTATATTTTAATTAATGGGAATTTTAAATTAACAATTATTAATAAATCGTGAGAAGAGAATTATTAGATTTTGAGTGGAATGAAATTTGTTGGTGGAATCGGTCAAAACACAGATTATATTTATTGTTGTGAAAAGTCGAAATTTGGGGAGATATGTAAGTTCTCCAATTGACAACCTTAGGCCTTCTGTCAAAGGTTCATCTCACTCATTATTCCATGACCACCATTTTGTGCAATCATCAAGTGGCTTCACGACGTAATGCTCTAATGTTTTCTAAACAATTTTTAATCTGTCTTTAACTTGTCTTGTCATATTTTATATAATTTTAACCATTGTACCATGTATCCAGCTCTCACCATGTTACTGGACGTTTCCATCCTATACGTAAACAACAATTAGCAACATCCTCACATACTACTGTAAGTTAATTCAATTTAAATTCATTTTGCACTTTTGTTGCTACTGTTATCATTGTAATTGCAGCTCCTGATGATGATGGCAAAGTCCATTCAAAGCTAGAGAGAATTAAAAAAAGTATAAAGAGTCCTCTTTGCTTAAATTTTGTCGAAGTACCCAACAAAAGGCGGAAGCTTTAAATTTTCACCTAACTGGTCTAGACGACAATGACCACGTCTCAAGTTATATATATATATATATATAAGAGGATGCTGTAAAGAATGTGTCGAAACCGTTCATGGTCATTGTTATAACGAGCCGGAGATCAATTCCGGTATTACGATCGATACGGTGGTGACAGATATAAGACGAGTTCTTCATTCTTTGCGGCAGTATCTGAAAGGCGACCGTAGAGACAAAATTGGTAAGCAACTTTTAACTGAAAAGCCAGAAGTATGGTTGAACGAAGCAGCCACAGACATGGATTTTGGTGCTGCAGTACCATATATTCCTCAAGCAGCGACGCTGAGAAAATGTAAAGATGCACAGGATCTGAATATCGATTAAAATAATGACCTTATTGGGTCTGTGAAAACAGTGAAAATAAATTCAGGGTATTCTGGCTTTATAAAGCAAATTGGTGTAGATAAATTTAGCGTAATGCGTCTTCAACTCGTTAATTACAAAACCCCTCATCAGCATCGTAAAATTGAAATAGACGTATCAGGTACTATTGCCAAACCAAAATTAAACTACAGTAATGTTTCTCATGCCATTTTTCTTTATCAAATCGTACAAAGCGGGGAATCAGGAATTGCTCCAGTGCCGCAAATGATTTCCAAAGAACACGATACGAATATGATGAATTATTGGTTAACAGCGCACCCGCACCAGACGAAGTGGTTACAGATTTTTCTTTGGAACTGCTAAACGCCGTAGCATTGGCATTTAATAAAAGGGCCCTTAAAGGGTATGTTGCAGGTTGCTTTCGAATTTTAAATAATGAACTGCTACACCACCCTTTGCGGACCCACATAAGGGTTGATATTGCTCATCTAATGAATCTTTTATGCAAGAAAAAATATTTTTCGATAAAAGACTGCCTTCGGTGAAGGACTTCTATGCAAGGTGATTAGGACTCATAACAACCTGCGTAAACTTAAGTTCGTTTAAAAAGGTGTTACAAAGCATATTTATCATAGTACTGAGTGAATGCGACGGACAAAACGATGTTGATGTAGATCTTACCAGTGAAGTTAGGAAAAAAATATTCAGGCAAATGGAAACTTTTTGTATTGTATTAAATGATACAACTGCCCGTGAGTTACTTGATGATTGCGGTGACTTAGAACTGAGACAATATCTGCTTTTGTTCAAAATAATCTCGACAGTGCCACTGTAATAGCTGGCAATGTAAAGGGTATCAGCGATCAAATCCTTATTATTTATGGACAAACGTAATGATTTCTACATTTCTACATTTCCAAAGCCAAATTTAGTCGCATCATCAGCAAGATCTGAAAGTTATTTCAAAGAGCTGAAGCCGTGCCTCGGGGGCAAGCATACAAGCCCTTACGGGCAGATAAATTTATTGCCAGGCATATAAGGTGGATGGAAAGCTCAACCAAATATGAACGCGCTGCGGTAACGGATAGGTATAAGCGCGGAAAAAAATCCAAGGAATCTAAGAGCAAAAACATTTGTATGGACAAGATACAGGAAAGTGCCAATGATTATTTAATACATACAGAAGGATGTAGGGGCAAAAATTGTGCCACACCTCCTATTCCCGGTGAGTCAATAGAAATAAATTACATCGAAAATGAGGTTTCACTGATATTAGACCCAGAGTATTTGGACATACTTCTTTCAACATCAATAGAAAAAATCCTTGACTCACCGCGCCTTTTTCAAGCCTGGACCTCAAGAGTCAAATGCGGCCACAAAACAATTTTTTCTCATGATAACAAAACAAAAGTTACCCTAAAAATAAAATCAATGAAAAGAAATAAGCATCTTTAAAAGACTGCAATAAATGAGGGACAATGCACCACATGTGGCACTGTTTTGGAAGATGAGGTAGATTTAGAGGTTTCCACATCAAGAGACCTGGGAAACCAATCTTCAGGTGCAGTACAAAATTGTATAACCAATTTTTTTGCAAACGCTTTTGGATTGTAAGAAATGCAATGTAAAAATTATAACAAAAAAACGCCAGGATCTCATCTTATTTTAGAAACTGGGTTCGCGTTCAATGCGAAAGTGCAAAAACTATTTTTATCCGCACGCACTCAATTCACGTGAAATTGGTGGACATTCCAACAGAAGTATATACTGTTGGGAACAAGTATATGCTAAATGGCGTAGTTTCGTAGGATTATTGTGGAATTACTCTCGACCATTGTCGGGCATATTGTCGCAATCTGCGAGAAACCTCATCAAAACAGCCGCGAGTTGTATTAAATCCTTCCAGTAAAAGAGTTAGTCTATCCATTTTTATCCACACAAAGCTTGTAGATCATTGTAAATTTAATAGCCTCAGGAAAAACTGAAATCGAATGAAATGGAGACAAACTGATAGTTTACTGTCTTAGGTTTAGAACTTTTCGTGCAATGTGTTTGAAGTAATAAGGTCAACAGGTCTAAATGTCGTTAGTTTGTGCGCTTTTTGTTTTTTACTGAGGTTTTTGAATTGGAAACTGGTAGAGATTATGAGAACGAATAAATAAAGTTCGTATAAACATATGTGTTTTACGTCTTCGTTGTTGAGATACAGGATTCAAGTATATTCATTTGATATAGGTACATTTTACACGTTATCAAAACTCAACTTGGTATTTTGGACTTTTATTAGATAAGCCACTGACTCCATTTTGTGAATATAATGGAAGGACTCTTAAGCGAAAAAATATTTTGCTTGCTCATAGTTTATTTTTTGTAATTAAATGTATAACTAAAAACATTACTGAATGGTAACATTCGCAGGAATAAACGATTTGTGAAACGCCTCTAGAATATTTGTTGGGACCTACAAAATTAATGTCACTGTTAAATTAAAGAATTTCATCACAAGTGATTTATAATTCAGAGATTTCTGCCATCAGAACAACATCAAACATGTATTGAATGCTGTGGCGATTCCCAGGGCAAACGGAAAAGTAGAGCGGTTAAATCAAACGTTGTTAGACGCTTTTCTTACAACTACGTTGAAGGAAGACCTGAGGGACAGAGAACTTCCAAATGTTCAGTTTACCATGAACGACGTCCCAGATAAGTCTACAGTAAAAACACCGAGTCAACTTTTATTTGGTTTTGGACCCCGAGAGGGTGTGGATATGGCTCTAAAGGACGAAGATAGTCAAGTCCCCACACTCCCACACTCCTCAAAGACCTTGTTGCCACAGGGGAGGGAGCTACCCGATAAATAGAGGTAGCTGGACAGGAAAAAAAAGTCAGTTTTCACAAGAAGCGGAAGGCTCCGGGAAAATATAGACCGGGCGATTTATTCTTTGTCGAAAAGCATAATTCTGCTACGGGGGCAAGTCGGAAATTACAGTCATTATTATTTTACTAATTTGATCTGAATGGAACTGCTAGATAGAAGATTGAATATTGTCAAAATGCCATAGGATGTTACCAATTGTCATCGACATAATAATACATTTGTGCAAGCTGATTATTTGGGTGTTGTAGTTGACGATTGAAAAACAAGTCCTGACGTTCTCGGTTCCAGTTCTAGCGAACCTGCGTAGAGTGCCTCTTCTTGACGGAGTAACGGAGATGCAAGGAGGTAGTTTGCTACTTTCGGTATCAAATCGATTTTATAAGGTGTTTGCTGAAAGTGCCTTATTTCGCGGATTACCCGTGCAATCTGGAAAGAAGGAGTGATTAGGTATGGCGTACTAGAATGGAAAGCACCAAATATATCATGCGACTAGGTAAAGGCAGACTTAAGGTTTCATAGTATGTCCCAAACAACGGTAGGAATGGAAGGTGTTTCCTCAATCGTTTGCTCTCCTCCAACATGTTTGCGTACCTACCGTTCTCATCTTCGCGAAGTTCAGCAGCCCTTCAGTTGTGAACGTTGACGTATCCTCTTC